TTTGTTTGTAATATAATTGTGATTTTTACCTTAACCTAATTTGTATGCTACTTGCCTCGATTTTCCCCTTAGAGCTAATCAATTTGAAGAAGATAATACCGGCGACTACAACGATCGCACCTCATCAGCCGGCGGCGACTATTATTCAACCGCATCAATTTAGTCAGCAAGCGCACCCATCACACCATCAACATGGCCATTCTATGGACCATCCGCAACAACAGCAAATACAACAGCTACAGTCGCATCCGCAAGTACAAAGTATCGTAACGACACACCCGCCGCACACACAGACAATCAATCTGATGGGCCTGAGAAATGTCCAAATAGCCGAGCAAAAACCACTAACATCGCGAATTAAGTATTCGCGCGGAAAAATTATAACTCCGCAAAGCACAACTGCCGGCAGTGTACAGATTGTGGAATCGCACGAAGCGGAGGAGCCACAACATCATCATCATCATCAACTGGCCGAGGGTACCAAATACGAAATAAGCGAAATCGATCTAAATAATCCATCTGCATCTGCGGCCATCATCAGCGATTTAGTGAAATATGCCGAGATCGATGACATTGAATTGCCAGACGGCACAAAGATCGGCATTGGTTTCGCACCAACCGAAATTACGGAGCACATCCAAACGACAGCGCCGTCGGCGGCCCACCAAATGGGCAGCGTGGTGGACGAAGACTCGGAGCAAGCTGTGCACCATCACCACCACATTCAGCATTTGCAACAAACACAAGTTCATCACCACATCCATCCACACACTCATCACGCTCAATTACAGCTGCAGGAACAGGATGACGCCACGACGAGCGTTGAGGCGACTATCCTACCCGATGGTATTACACTGCACGAACAACCGACCATCACCAAGAGTTATACAATACTAACTACTCGCCCCATAAAGCAAGAAGGAGGATGCGCAAGCGTCGATGGCACAACAACGACCACATATGAACTTTCACTGAGCGATTCATCAATGCATCCGGATGACGGTGATGCCAAATATGTATGCCGTCATTGTGGCAAGAAATATCGTTGGAAGTCCACTTTGCGGCGACATGAGAATGTCGAGTGTGGCGGCAAAGAACCATGCCATCCATGTCCGCACTGTTCGTACAAGGCGAAACAACGCGGCAATCTAGGCGTACACGTACGGAAGCATCATCCGGAAAAACCGGGGTTGGAGAGTAAGCGCGGGCGCAAATAAATAATCAATGATTCCCAATGGCAAAAGAGCTTCGCGTGCGGGAGGAAAAGTTGCTGTTTGTACAATTCAAGTTACGGAAACTTTGCCGTTTCCTTATACTGTACATAATGTATATATATATATACGCGTTTATGTATGTAGGTATGCGCAACCTGCTATTTGCGTATTGTGTTGTATGTATGTATGTATAGTTACTTGTGTAATGTAGTTGACTAAAATCGGAAACTATTTTTGTTAACTTTGAGAGTTTGTTTTATTTTTTTTTTTCAAATTATTGAGCCCAGTTATGGTTTAAACTAAACATAGCAATTCGATTCGATTTCGGCTTTATGTATTGATTTAAAATCTTTCATCATTAAAAACATACATACTTTTTGTGGCAATAGGACAGCTATAATGTAGTGGTGTGTCCAGTTAAATCTAAGTACAGTTATTTAAGTAGTTACATATATTATTTAATACATAAGAATGTTGTACGACACTAAAAAGTACGACTAAAAGCAATAGCTGCTATATTATCGGAGGCTTGAACAAAAAGTTTTGCAGAATTATGAAAAGTGATGATTGAAGTTTATGTTTGTATGTATTTATGCAAAACTACTCCATACAGTGTGCTGGCCTTATTCACAGTGCGTACCCTGCAAACCAAAATTCCCGAAATCTTAAGGAAATCGTTAGGAGTATCTGATTTCTGTAACGATTTTTTTACGAATTTTCAAAGAAAATTATATGAAGGGGTTGACACAAACTCGTAAAGAAATTTCTGTACGAAAAATAAAGAAAATTCTGGAAAAATTCTGAAAGATATTCTTCACATAGCAGCATTATTTTCGTTGCTTCACAGATTTTCTTCAGAAATTTCGTAAAAGAATGGAAGTGTGCGTAATTTATTTCATTTTAGAAAATTCGGCAAGAAATCGAATTAAATCTTAACGAATTCTTTGAAATTTCTTTACAATGGGGAATTCAAATTCACTGTCACATAGTAAACTGCAGAAATTTATATCGCCTGAGATGATACAACATCGAAAAATCTATCTTTTTCTGTACTACGCACTGCGAGTTTGGTGCTAGGTGAATCAAAAATATTCCACGAACTGAGGTCCTCAACTTATTCATAAAAAAAAAAACATTTTCGTACGACTCCGACGGACTAAAGAATTATAAGATCAGTTATTTGTTGTGCAATTTTGAGTTTAAATGCGGAATTTAAAATAAGGCTGTTTAAAGTTTACAAACGTAATAATAATAATAATAATGAGTTAAGCAAGAGTGTGGTCAGAAAGTAAGAAAGTTTTGAAAATCAAAAAAATCTTAAACTTACTATTTATTCGAATCAGCACTGTAGGGACTAGGCTAAGGTAACAAAAAAAAAGGCGAAACATGTAAACTTCATTTTGGGTCGTAGATTGCATTTTCGTAAGATATTAGGGGTATTCTCTGAGTCTTGCAAAGCCCTTGCAAGGTGCACGGATTGCACGGTTTGCGAAGCTGTCCCATACGAAAACCGGTTTTTACCGTGCAATCCGTGCAATCTGTGCACCGTGCAAGGGCTTTGCAAGACTCAGAGAATACCCCTATTGTGATTTTAAGTTTGCATTGTGAATAAAAAATGCAAACTTTAACAGAGAAAAAATTAAGAGTACAAAATTTCTTAAATTCTTTCAATTTGTGTTAAAGTCTATTCTTTAAAAAAAAAACATCAAGCTATTAGCGAAGAAAATTTATTGATAAGTAAAGTTGTAATAATTTCTTTTTTATTATTACCTCCCTTTTAATAGCTCGGGACGTAACTATGTAATATTGATGCGCCTAAAAGATGCAGCGATTTCTATTCTCAAGTTACATACCTGATGACAGTACGAATGGAAATTATAATGGCGAGGTTTTTAGTTTTTTAAGCTATAATTTTTTATTATGAAATATGACTAAGAAAGAATGTTACTCATACGCCATGTATAACTATATGAACTATTGTCTTCTTTATAGCTGTGGTCATAAGCAATAATCGCCTATGTCGAAAAACCTGAATTCGAGAAAAAACGCTTTAAAGATTTGGATTGTAATGTTAACCTTATGAGGAGAATACGATAGCATATATATCACCATTCTTTCTTAAGTCGACTTAGGAGGTTATAGGTTATGAGCACAGATATATAAATGTGAATGTCTGTTTGTTTATTACCTTATAACTTTTGAACCGCGACACGGAATCGCACGAAACTTTGCACACTTATTTGTTTTTACCACAGGAAGGTTATAGATATGGTTTTATTTGCAACTACATACACAGTAGCGTGGACCGAAAATCCGCTTTTTAAGAATTTTGATTGAGCCAAAATATGGTTCATTAAGCTCTTAAAAAAAATCTGTGTGAAATGTGAAAATTTTTGGTCAATATCCTAGGCTCGCCCAAGTCCATCAAAGTTCAAGTACAAAAAAAAAAAAAATTCTTAGCTAACTTCGATTTTCTGCGAAAAAGGTCCATATACCAAATTATGTAGGACTAATACTTTCGAAGATTATTGCAATTTTAGTAAAAAAAAAAATTTATTAATTAATTTATTTATTAATTTTTATTTTTTGAGCATATTGAACTTTGATGGACTTGGGCGAGCCTAGGATATTGACCAAAAAATTCCAAATTCCACACAGGGGTTTTTTAAAGCATACTGTTTCGGGGTTAGCTTCACCGCGTAATTAATAACACGCACTGTTTTTTGGTTGCACTAATTCAAAATTCAATTTTATTATATTTATATAATAATATAATAATATAAAGTATATTTATTTTTTTTTGTGAGAACAACAAGAGCGGGATGAAAAAATAGAGAAAAAATACGCGAGCAGGCTTCCAAAATGTACGCGGCGGCGGTTGGTCTTCGACTGTGTCGATGTTGCGGTGTGTGCGGTGACGTTGCCTGTCGATAAGGCAGCCCGTGTGGTCCTTTGGCCACACTGACACGGCGTTGGCGGAGGTCGAGACTTAGTCGGAGAACTCGATCATTCGGGTAATGGTTCCATTTTGAGTTTTTATTTCTACAACACGAACGTTTTTATCTTGACCCGGATGCAATTGGATTACACGCCCAAAACGCCACTCATTGGGGGGTAATAAATCGTCTTTTATTACCACTAGATCACCTTCTTCTATATGCTGCTGTGGGCGCTTCCATTTGTAGCGTTTATGCAGCTCTCCTTGAGGTACTCGTTCTTCCATCGGATGCTAAATTGGTGATGCAGTGCCTTAAGTCTTTGCCATTTGTTGATCAAGGAAAGATGTTCAACGTTTTTTTCGGGTAGTGATAGGAGTGGTGCTCCGCGTAAGAAATGTCCTGGGGTTAACACAAGGGGATCCTGCGGATCTTCTGACATAGGGGAGAGCGGTCGGGAATTGAGGACCGCCTCTATCCGAACCAGAAGAGTAGCGAGTTCCTCAAACGAGAATTTTTGACCCCCCGCTACTTTTGTAAAATGTATTTTAAAACTCTTCACGGCGGCTTCCCATAGACCTCCCATGTGTGGAGCGTATGGCGGTATAAATTTCCATAAAAATCCATGAAGGGCATATCTTTCTGCGACGCCTGTAGCTGCTGCATTGAGGAACGTGGCGAAATCTCGTTGTAGTGCTCGTTGGGCGCCAACGAAGGTTTTCCCATTATCGGAGAGGATCTGGTGAGGTATGCCACGACGGCCGATGAAGCGTGCAAAGGCTGCGTTAAAGGCGTTCGTGCTGAGAGTTCTAACCGTGGGAGACTTACGGTTTGTAAGGGTGCTACCTTGCTTTTAGCGGCTAACAAATGCGATAAAAACGTGTTTTCGCTATTTTGTACTCTTAAATAGACGCAAGCACAAAAGGCTTTTTCGGAGGCATCTGAAAAAACATGCAGCTGGATGGGTTTGTCGGGGGTATACTGTACCCAACGGGGAATTTTAATGTTCTCAGTTTTGGGTAAATTTTCGTAAAAGGCATCCCATTTTTGAAGGGCCCCGGGTTTGATGTTCTCGTCCCAATCAGTTCCCTCCATCCAGAGTTGCTGTAACAGCATTTTTGCAAGGATCAAATCTTCTATAGTCATATTAGGATCTTTGCGAAAGACGATTCGCTGGAAATCTTGGTCTTCTTTGTGAACTAGTATTTGGCGATACATTTTTTCTATGTCGAGGGCTTAAAAAATATACTTAACTC